AGACTTACTGAACACGGGATGGTTGTCATTAGTATCCATCACGGAAATGATAATAAGCGATGTCCCTGACTTGGGTGGGTTTCCTCCGTCTACTGCAGTCAGCGTGAGTTTTATAACAGAATCCTGCTCTCTGTCTAACGATTTCTGCAGTACTAACTCAGCAGACACGCTGTCTTCTCCTTTATGAATATCTAATGTAAAATAGTCGTTATTACTAAGTTTATATGTATTAACACCGTTTTTACCGACATCCAAATCTGATGCCTCTATCAGTCCAAATTTGACTCCCGGTAAAGTATTTTCTGGAACATCAAGTGACTGCAGCTTCTCAGAGAAAACTGGTGCGTTGTCGTTTATATCTTTTATATTTATCTCTAAGCGATAAAGCTTCAGCGGGACGTTGATCACCGCCTCTACATTGACAGTACATTTTGAAGCCCTTCCACAAAGCTCCTCGCGGTCGATTCTTTCGCTGACATAAAGAACACCAGTTTTTAAATTCACATCGAAATACTTCTTCTGTGATCCACTAACAATCTGAAACCTACGAGACTCTAAATCCTGTACATTGAGATTTAGATCTTTGGCAATATTTCCAACAGATGTCCCAGTATTTTCCTCCTCCGATACAGAGTACGAGAGCTGTCCAGACACCGCTTCCCAGCAATAATTCAGCAGCACGGCCACAGAATAAGCCCGCAAAATATCTGTTTTTGTTGGGAATTGCATGATTAAATCCACCGAAATCAGGCACACTTTGTGTCCACCAGCAACCGTCAGATATCCGCAAACAAAGGCAATCACAACAAGTCAGCCTGATAGATTTTTCGCCCTTTCTCTCTCGCTCTGCGCCTCTTTGTTACAAAGCCCAGAGAAAGATCATCCTCTGTTTCTGGGTGGAGTCTTATGCCTTTAGAAATAACATCTAGATGTCATGGTCTTCAGTGCCACCATCTGGTAATGTAAAATAACTGCATTTAAGCTTTAGGAACAGCAACAATTAAATGACTACCCACCCGTCCAAGGCGATCAACTTCTCATTAATTATGAACATAACCCTGTTAACTTATATGTTATGGTGCATTTCAAAGGATTTTTTTTCCTTTTCCCATTCTGATTAATTCTCAGTTAACAAAGAAAAAAAATCATAACTTTCCTCTTGGTGATACCCCGTCTAAAAGTACACGAGTTAGAATTGACAGACCTTATTGAAAATATTTCGACACAAGAAAGATACAGCAAGAACTTACTACTATTATGACATAAAATAAACACATTTTCCTAATTTCTAAAAGTATGAGAGCGAAGGTGATTGAATAAGCGGTCGAATAACCTTGCTAAATGTGATAAAACAAACTTTACACCATTCTCCACTAAGTAAAAAGATCTATCATGAATTGTATGTCAAGTTTCCAGGGAAAACACTTGTCTTTGTCGACCGTGCCCCAATTAAGTCCCCTGATGCACCCTCCAAATGACCGGCAACTTGCACCTTTCTGATTTCAGCACCACGGATAGCGACAATAACGTTCTGTCTAAACTCGAAAGGCTCATGAACTTTGTTTATTTTGGCTTATTAACAACTGTACATTTCAACTCAACTCCAAACCGATAAAGAAAAATCACATCTTTAAATAGTTTGTGAAGTTAGTACTAACATATTCCACTTAAAAACAACAACAACAACAATAAGCAAACAAAACATGGAGATTACCCAAGGCATGGATTTATGCATTGCATTGTTTTTGCTAATTTCTTACCTTCTCTTTGGTAAAATTTCATGGACTCACCTTTTCTTTGGTAGGTAAAGTCTGAGTCCTGGTAAAAGTGTCTCCTCCGTTAATACTGATCAGCTCTCCATCTACAGGTGGAAACGAGGCGGGGAAAACCACCACGTCACTCTTGAGCGTGTCTGAGCTGAAACATACGTCATACTGCTGAGTAGCTTTAGAGTAAGACCAGCTCCCGTCAGGGTGGGTGGTGATCATGGGGGCGCTGTACCTGCTGAAAGCGCCGTCTGTCCTGTGGCATCTGACTGCTATTAAAGTGATGAGGCTGAGCAGAAAGATGACGGACACCGACACAATGGCGATCAGCAGATACAGGTTCAAATCCGAGAAGCTGTCCTCCTTTACAGGCACATGTCTGAACTGAGTCTGGATTTCAGCCGTGCTTTCAACCACCACCACATCAATAGACACAGTAGCTGACAGGGAGGGTTCTCCGTTATCAGAGACCAAGACCACCAAGGGGTGAGTTTTGAGGTCATTGTCACTCATTCTCCTCCTAGTCCTGATCTCCCCGGTGCTGGTTCCGATCCTGAACAGGTTGTTTCCTTTGGGCTCAGACAGGTGATAAGAAAGCAGCGCATTGTATCCAGAGTCTGCGTCTACAGCCCTGATCTTTGCCACAAAGTATCCCGCTTCAGCAGAATAGGGGATGCTCTCACTGTTAACGGAGCCATGCTCAGAATATGGCGCGAGAATCGTGGGACTGTTGTCATTTTCATCCAGGATTAAAACGTTGACAGTGACGTTGCTGCTGAGCGGAGGAACACCAGAGTCTGTGGCCTGAACTTTAAACTGGAACGTTTTTAACTCCTCGTAGTTAAAAGACTGCAGGCTGATTATATCTCCAGTCTCAGAGTTGATGTTAATCATTGTAGGAAACTGTAGTGAGTCACTGCTGCTTTGTAAAAAAGAATAGCTCACTTGACCATTTTTATCGACATCAGCATCAGTTGCAGTCAGAGTTTTAATGACTGCTCCTACTGGACTGTTTTCTTTAACATAAATATTAAGTATCGGATCAGAGAAGCGAGGCGAGTTGTCATTGACGTCAGAAACGTGAACACTAATTATGCTGGTGCTGGAGAGAGGAGGAGCTCCTTCATCAGTTGCTATTATAGTAACATTGTACTCGTTTGTAGTTTCTCTGTCAAGCGGACCAGTAACCACTAAAGAGTAATAATTTCTATAGTTTGTGTCCAGTTTAAATGGAGTCTCATTTGCAATCCCAGCTTTCACTGCCCCGTTATTCCCACCATCTTTATCCAAAACCGAGACAAGTGCAATGGCTGCACCTACTTCCGCGTCTTCTTTCACTGTATTTAGTAGTGACGTTACCGTGATCTCAGGAGCGTTGTCATTTAGATCCAGCACTTCTACCAACACTTTGCAATGAGCAGACATCGGAGGCTGACCCTTGTCAGTCGCCTCAGCATGAATCTCAAATGCAGGATTTTCTTCGTAATCGATTTTACCTTTAATTGAAATCGCTCCCGTTTTAGAGTCTATTTGAAATACATTTAAAACATGATCCTGACCTTTACTTCTAAAAGAATATTCAGTTTCAGCATTTAATCCGTCATCTGCGTCTGTTGCATTTAAAAATATAATTGTTTTACCCATTGGTAGATTTTCATGAATCTGTGTTTTATACAAAGCCCTACTGAAAACCGGAGCGTTGTCATTATTGTCTAAGACATTTATAATGATTTGCAATGTTCCTGACTTGGATGGGTTTCCGCTGTCGACAGCAGTCACTGTAAGATTAACAGTAGGTTGTGTTTCTCGGTCTAGAGCTTTCTGTAGCACCAGCTCGGCAGACACACTATCCCTTCCTTTGTGGACCTCTAAAGAAAAGTAATCATTTTGACTCAACTTGTATGAACTAACGTCATTCTTTCCAACGTCAAGATCCGATGCCCCTATAAATCCAAATTTCCCCCCTGGCACAGTACTTTCCGCAATATTAAGATACTGCAAATTCTCAGGAAAATGTGGCACATTATCATTAATATCGACTACATTTACATCTAAACGATAAAGCTTCAGTGGATTGTTGATCACGGCCTCTACGCTAATAGTACATATTGCAGCTTTTGCGCAAAGCTCCTCACGGTCGATTCTTTCACTGACATAGAGACTACCCGTTTTCAAATTTATATCGAAATAATTTCTCTTTGATCCGCTAACAATCTGAAACATACGCGTCCTCAAGTCATGCACGTTAAGATTTAGATCTTTAGCGAGATTTCCCACAGTAGTCCCCGGGTTTACCTCCTCTGATACAGAGTAAGAGAGCTGCCCAGTCACCACTTGCCAGCAGCAATCCAAAAGAACAACGACTACATAAATCCCAAAAGAACTGCGTATCCTCCCTGTCGACATTTTCTATCCTGTGCGAGCACAGCATATGGATCGTAGTCTTCAAGGTGAAATTAGATTGGCAGAATCCAGATTTCCGTGTATATAAGAAGTAAAGGACAAAGCGATGATCGCACAATGTATTCTCATACTGCCCCTCTTGTAACAAAGCCTTGCAAAGCATCATCGTCACCATCATCTAAATCTAGGAGGAGCTTCGAACAACCAACAGCACTATGAAAATGTGATGGTCTACAATGTCCCCATGTGGTCATTTAAAAATACTACATTATCACAAAACAATCTCATAAGTTCGTTTAAGCCTTCAAGATAAATGCATCAAGATGCCAATCTGGTAATGGCAAATAATGTCAAGCGCCCTTATATATTTATTTAAAGACAGGTGTAGCATATATATAAACCAAATTGAATTAAAACTTGCCTTATCTCCTTTTCACAAAACATGAAAATATGAGCAAATATGAATAATACAATTGTCAAGGCGTATATCAGCTTAATGTGCTATCTGTCTATCCTTTGAGTAACCAGAGACAAAGAGCAATGCACATATCAGAAATGTGACTTAATTATTATTATAATTATTGCGGCCTTCAGATCACATTTTTATATATACTAGAATGCCTACACCAGCACCATGGACAGCTACATGAACGCACTGCTGTCCAAATGATGGATATTATTAAATTGGCACAGCTAAACGTTTTAAAGCTGAAGCATATATATATTTGGAATCTAGTTTAAATCAGAAGATGCACCATGCTAAGATAAGAAAAAATGGTACCGTTTAATCTGCAATGACGACGAATGACAATATGCAAGTATTTTAAAATTTCATGGACTCACCTTTTCTTTGGTAGGTAAAGTCTGAGTCCTGGTAAAAGTGTCTCCTTCGTTAATACTGATCAATTCTGCATCTACAGGTGGAAACGAGGCGGGGAAAACCACCACGTCACTCTTGAGCGTGTCTGAGCTGAAACACACGTCATACTGCTGAGTAGCTTTAGAGTAAGACCAGCTCCCGTCAGGGTGGGTGGTGATCATGGGGGCGCTGTACCTGCTGAAAGTGCCATCTGTCCTGTGGCATCTGACTGCTATTAAAGTGATGAGGCTGAGCAGAAAGATGACGGACACCGACACAATGGCGATCAGCAGATACAGGTTCAAATCCGAGAAGCTGTCCTCCTTTACAGGCACATGTCTGAACGGAGTCTGGATTTCAGCCGTGCTTTCAACCACCACCACATCAATAGACACAGTAGTTGACAGGGAGGGTTCTCCGTTATCAGAGACCAAGATCACCAAGGGGTGAGTTTTGAGGTCATTGTCACTCATTCTCCTCTTAGTCCTTATCTCCCCGGTGCTGGTTCCGATCCTGAACAAGTTGTTTCCTTTGGGCTCAGACAGGTGATAAGAAAGCAGCGCGTTGTATCCAGAGTCTGCGTCTACAGCCCTGATCTTTGCCACAAAGTATCCCGCTTCAGCAGAATAGGGGATGCTCTCACTGTTAACGGAGCCATGCTCAGAATATGGCGCGAGAATCGTGGGACTGTTGTCATTTTCATCCAGGATTAAAACGTTGACAGTGACGTTGCTGCTGAGCGGAGGAACACCAGAGTCTGTGGCCTGAACTTTAAACTGGAATGTTTTTAACTCCTCGTAGTTAAAAGACTGCAGGCTGATTATATCTCCTGTCTCTGAGTTGATATTAATCATTGTAGGAAACGGTAGTGAGTCACTGCTGCTTTTTAAAAAAGAATAGCTCACTTGACCATTTTTATCGACATCAGCATCAGTTGCAGTCAGAGTTTTAATGACTGCTCCTACTGGACTGTTTTCTTTAACATAAATATTAAGTATCGGATCAGAGAAGCGAGGCGAGTTGTCATTGACATCAGAAACGTGAACACTAATTATGCTGGTGCTGGAGAGAGGAGGAGCTCCTTCATCAGTTGCTATTATAGTAACATTGTACTTGTTTGTAGTTTCTCTGTCAAGCGGACCAGTAACCACTAAAGAGTAATAATTTCTATAGTTTGTGTCCAGTTTAAATGGAGTCTCATTTGCAATCCCAGCTTTCACTGCCCCGTTATTCCCACCATCTTTATCCAAAACCGAGACAAGTGCAATGGCTGCACCTACTTCCGCGTCTTCTTTCACTGTATTTAGTAGTGACGTTACCGTGATCTCAGGAGCGTTGTCATTTAGATCCAGCACTTCTACCAACACTTTGCAATGAGCAGACATCGGAGGCTGACCCTTGTCAGTCGCCTCAGCATGAATCTCAAATGCAGAACTTTCTTCGTAATCGATTTTACCTTTAATTGAAATCGCTCCCGTTTTAGAGTCTATTTGAAATACATTTAAAACATGATCCTGACCTTTACTTCTAAAAGAATATTCAGTTTCAGCATTTAATCCGTCATCTGCGTCTGTTGCATTTAAAAATATAATTGTTTTACCCATTGGTAGATTTTCATGAATCTGTGTTTTATACAAAGCCCTACTGAAAACCGGAGCGTTGTCATTAATGTCTAAAACATTTACAATGATTTGCAATGTTCCTGACTTGGGTGGGTTTCCGCTGTCGATAGCAGTCACGGTAAGATTAACAGTAGGTTGTATTTCTCGGTCTAGAGCTTTCTGTAGCACCAGCTCGGCAGACACACTATCCCTTCCTTTGTGGACCTCTAAAGAAAAGTAATCATTTTGACTCAACTTGTATGAACTAACGTCATTCTTTCCAACGTCAAGATCCGATGCCCCTATAAATCCAAATTTCCCCCCTGGCACAGTACTTTCCGCAATATTAAGATACTGCAAATTCTCAGGAAAATGTGGCACATTATCATTAATATCGACTACATTTACATCTAAACGATAAAGCTTCAGTGGATTGTTGATCACGGCCTCTACGCTAACAGTACATATTGCAGCTTTTGCGCAAAGCTCCTCACGGTCGATTCTTTCACTGACATAGAGACTACCCGTTTTCAAATTTATATCGAAATAATTTCTCTTTGATCCGCTAACAATCTGAAACATACGCGTCCTCAAGTCATGCACGTTAAGATTTAGATCTTTAGCGAGATTTCCCACAGTAGTCCCCTGGTTTACCTCCTCTGATACAGAGTAAGAGAGCTGCCCAGTCACCACTTGCCAGCAGCAATCCAAAAGAACAACGACTACATAAATCCCAAAAGAACTGCGTATCCTCCCTGTCGACATTTTCTATCCTGTGCGAGCACAGCATATGGATCGTAGTCTTCAAGGTGAAATTAGAGTGGCAGAATCCAGATTTCCGTGTATATAAGAAGTAAAGGACAAAGCGATGATCGCACAATGTATTCTCATACTGCCCCTCTTGTAACAAAGCCCTGCAAAGCATCATCGTCACCATCATCTAAATCTAGGAGGAGCTTCGAACAACCAAGAGCACTATGAAAATGTGATGGTCTACAATGTCCCCATGTGGTCATTTAAAAATACTACATTATCACAAAACAATCTCATAAGTTCGTTTAAGCCTTCAAGATAAATGCATCAAGATGCCAATCTGGTAATGGCAAATAATGTCCAGCTCCCTTATATATTTATTTAAAGACAGGTGTAGCATATATATAAACCAAATTGAATTAAAACTTGCCTTATCTCCTTTTCACAAAACATGAAAATATGAGCAAATATGAATAATACAATTGTCAAGGCGTATATCAGCTTAATGTGCTATCTGTCTATCCTTTGAGTAACCAGAGACAAAGAGCAATGCACATATCAGAAATGTGACTTAATTATTATTATAATTGTTGCGGCCTTCAGATCACATTTTTATATATACTAGAATGCCTACACCAGCACCATGGACAGCTACATGAACGCACTGCTGTCCAAATGATGGATATTATTAAATTGGCACAACTAAACGTTTTAAAGCTGAAGCATATATATATTTGGAATCTAGTTTAAATCAGAAGATACACCATGCTAAGATAAGAAAAAATGGTACCGTTTAATCTGCAATGACGAGGAATGACAATATGCAAGTATTTTAAAATTTCATGGACTCACCTTTTCTTTGGTAGGTAAAGTCTGAGTTCTGGTAAAAGTGTCTCCTTCGTTAATACTGATCAGTTCTGCATCTATAGGTGGAATCGAAGCGGGGAAAACCACCACGTCACTCTTGAGCGTGTCTGAGCTGAAACACACATCATACTGCTGAGTAGCTTTAGAGTAAGACCAGCTCCCGTCAGGGTGGGTGGTGATCATGGGGGCGCTGTACCTGCTGAAAGTGCCATCTGTCCTGTGGCATCTGACTGCTATTAAAGTGATGAGGCTGAGCAGAAAGATGACGGACACCGACACAATGGCGATCAACAGATACAGGTTCAAATCCGAGAAGCTGTCCTCCTTTACAGGCACATGTCTGAACGGAGTCTGGATTTCAGCCGTGCTTTCAACCACCACCACATCAATAGACACAGTAGTTGACAAGGAGGGTTCTCCGTTATCAGAGACCAAGACCACCAAGGGGTGAGTTTTGAGGTCATTGTCACTCATTCTCCTCTTAGTCCTGATCTCCCCGGTGCTGGTTCCGATCCTGAACAAGTTGTTTCCTTTGGGCTCAGACAGGTGATAAGAAAGCAGCGCGTTGTATCCAGAGTCTGCGTCTACAGCCCTGATCTTTGCCACAAAGTATCCCGCTTCAGCAGAGTAGGGGATGCTCTCACTGTTAACGGAGCCATGCTCAGAATATGGCGCGAGAATCGTAGGACTGTTGTCATTTTGATCGAGGAGTAAAACGTTCACAGTCACGTTGCTGCTGAGCGGAGGAACACCAGAGTCTGTGGCCTGAACTTTAAACTGGAATGTTTTTAACTCCTCGTAGTTAAAAGACTGCAGGCTGATTATATCTCCTGTCTCCGAGTTGATATTAATCATTGTAGATAACAGCAGCTGGTTATTGCCAATTTTTAACAATGAATAGCTGATTTGGCTATTTTGGTTTATGTCTGCATCAGTTGCAGTCACTCTTTTAATGACTGCTCCCACTGGACTGTTCTCATTCACATAAACATCAATTACGGCCTCCGTGAACAGAGGTGCATTATCATTGACATCAGAAACGTGTATGGAAACTACACTTGTGCTGGTAAGTGGTGGAATCCCTTTGTCATTAGCGATTATATTGACATTGTAAATAGAGAATTTCTCCCTGTCCAGAGGTCCATCAACTAACAGCGAATAATAATTTTTGTAGTTAGTTTCGAGTTTGAATGGCGCTTTGTTTTTAATTTGGATCTCCACATCACCGTTTTTTCCACCGTCTTTATCGAGGACAGATACAAGTGCAACTGCGGTGCCTACAGGAGCATCCTCTTTTACCTTCCTATGTAATGACGTCACCGTGATCTCAGGAGCATTATCATTTAAGTCCACCACTTCTACCAGCACTTTACAGTGAGCGGACATCGGAGGATGCCCTTTATCACTGGCCACAACACGTACCTCAAAAGCCCTCCTCTCTTCAAAGTCTATTTTCCCTTTGACCTTAATGACACCAGTCTGAGGTTCAATTTCAAATATATCAAGTACGTGATCTTGGTCTTTGCTTCTCAGCGAATATACAATCTCACTGTTTAAACCCTCATCTGCATCAGTGGCGTTCACTGTGATTACCTTTAACCCCAGTGGAATGTTTTCTGGAATTTTTGTTTTATACAAGGATTCACTAAAGATCGGAATATTATCATTATTGTCTAATACATTAATAACGAGTTGCGAGGTGCCGGATTTCGGTGGGGTCCCTCCATCTACAGCTGTCAGTGTCATAGTGATGACTGCCTGCTTTTCTCGGTCTAAGGCTTTCTGCAGCACCAACTCAGCAGACACACGGTCACCTGCTTTGTGCACGGCCAACGAAAATTTTTCATTTTGGCTTAATTTGTAAGTGCTTACTCCGTTTTTCCCCATATCCGCATCAGTTGCTTCGGATAATTCAAATTTCACTCCAGGCAATGTGCTCTCTGCAATATATAAATTTTGCAGTTTGGTTGTAAACAAAGGAGCATTGTCGTTTACATCTAAGATCTCTACATCAATACGATAAAGCTTCAATGGGTTATTTATTACGGCTTCTACACTTACTGGACATTTTAGTTCCTCCGAGCAGAGCTCCTCTCTGTCTATTCTCTCACTGACATACAGAACACCAGTCTTTAGATTTACCTCGAAAAATTTTCTCTTTGATCCAGTAACGATTTGAAACATACGAGATTCCAACTCTTGTGAATTCAGGTTTAGATCCTTAGCGATATTCCCAACAGGAGTCCCCGGGTTTACCTCCTCTGAGATTGAATAGGAGAGCTGCCCAGCCACAGTCTGCCAGTAAACATCCAGTAAAAAAAGGCACAAATACATCCCAAAATAGCTCAATTTAAAGGGCGACATCTCTGTTCAATGTGAACAAAGCATAAATTTGAGCTCCAGTGGCATTCAGATATTTAGGAAAGAATGGACGATCAGGGAGCTTTTTGACTGTAGTATTCTGTTTGTTCCACCGTCGTTTGAGTCTTATAACAAAGACAGAAATCGTGCATATCGCTTGTAAACGGGAGGGGCCAAGTTCTATTAAAGAGCAGGGCTGTAACTAATGGACCAACAGCGACGCCACGTGGTGAAAAGAGCGCAATTCAGAGGCCAGTGAAAACAGTTGGTTCTCCTGCAGCCATCAGGTCACACCAAAGGTATCTGAGAAGCTTAACATCAGAAATCGGAACAACTCTTCTCTGCACCATGGACAACACCTGAATGAGTGTCCTTGTAGAAAGTGATAGTATCAAATACATCGCATCCCACGTTACTCTACCTTTTTCCACTAAACCTCTTTGTTCCATTCAATTTAAGAGTTATTTGTAGATTCTATTAACTACTAATGTGAGCTTAATAAACGGATAAAAAGTTGGAGGCTGCCTGAAATTTTTAGCATTCAGCCATGCCTATATAGCAATGTGTGAATTGCACCACAAGTTTTATCATGCCTACAAATTTGTATGTATTTTTTCCCTAAGAGTGCGTAAAAACAAACAAACAAGCAAGCAAACAAACAAAAACAGTAAAAAACAAAAAAACAAACAAACAAAAAACCCTCCCTAAACCATAAAAAATAGTACAGTTTCTTCTTCTGCACCCACATCAATGGCTTCTTTATTTATCTTTTAATGAAATTTTCTTTTTCAGCCTTTTGGGCAATAAATATATTTAATCGTACCTATATTCTTCTGCACATATGAGCACAGGAGGGGGTGTCTGCTTCTCGTGTTGTATTTTTGGTGCATTTTAGTATTACTCCACATTTCCACAGAGACAGTAGTCATGAGCTTGTTTGTAATCCCAAGCCCTAGATTCAGAAACTCCTGCCCTATTTCCATTCCTCAGAAAACACGATTTGATTTGAAAATATTATCCCACAACTACAATCATCTGTCAGCCCCCACAGACAATATTAATAATAATAATGGCTCACATAGGATGATCTGTGTGTTCATTTTCCTAATGCATGTAATAGAAAACAGTAGGTAAAGTATAGAAGAGAGAGTATAGTGCTCTTGTGGTTTATTAACATACACAAGCAAATGCATACATATCCACCATCGCAATTATGCAACCCGTTATGAAATTCAATTATTCATGGTTTATTTTAGGGCCAGACTACACTACTTTGACTTTACAGGACTTCAGTCTGGATTATCATTCTCCTAAAGTCACCATGAAACACATATGAATGTTCCATAAATTTCACACTTGGTATTCTTTGCTGCCCAGTGAGAGGATGAACACTTTTTTTTTCTTATTCTAAACAAACAATACATTTTTAAAAGAAACAAATCCATGGCTTCTGTAATTATGGAAAACCTAGTTCCACATAGATGAAACACAGTATATTAGCCAGCAGCTCTGAATACACCCCGGAATTAGTGGTGGGTTACTGAGCATATCCATAAGGCCATCCACACCTCTTCATTCGGTGATAGAGTTAATTAGGGAAACATGCAGAATGTTTAGTTCATCAAAACATAGTTGTTTAAACAGTAATGCAAAAATAACAATTGATTTTTAACACCTATACACCTAGACCAACCTCAAACAAACAAAATCAACCAAAAGCAAGTTAAACAGATAAGTTTTTAACTGCTTTTTAAAAGAAATGACTGAGTCCACAGTTCTCAAACTCAAAGGGAGTGAGTTCCAGAGTCTGGTCGCCACTGATACATACACTCTGTCACCTTTTGTTTTTAACCGTGTATGCTGGACAACCAACAAGCCCTGGTCACAAGAC